GGTGGAGGACTTAGCGATCAGTGGTCTGGATTACCCTACATTTTACATCTGGTCCTTGCTATATGTTTTGACTGCATCCCTTGAAGCTATTGGAGTAACCGTTTTAATATATCGGGCAGTAAATGTTGCATAAATGATCCTCCTCTCGAGTGGTCCGGTTTATGTCGATCAACTGGGAATATAGGTGCTGCCTAGGTTGCCGCAGTGTTACCTTGGACAAGAAGATGGAAACGTGGGCGCCAGGCATACGTCGATCTCTCAGGATGACGGGTGTGTTTGGCTATTCCTAGGTTTCCCATTTTGTAACATCATAAAATGCCTGACTTTTCTTCTGTTTCGACTTGGTGACTAGGTGAGGTGGTTGAAGAGATACTATTGATATTATCAAAACTATTTCAGCAATTTTTGCACTTAGGCTTTCAGTTTCGGTGGCTCGACTGTCGTACTTTTAAAAATCCCACTGCATATTTCACAAGGGTAGTTTTTGTACTCTCAGGACGGAACTAAAATGAATTCCGGAACTCTTATACTTTGGTATTTCGGCTAGCGATAGTCAGCCGTACTTTGTGTGAAAATAACTGGTGCAATGAGAGCATGCCGTCCACACTTGTAATACCTATATACATGCTCCTGCGTCGCAGACCACATGGTTTTGGCTCACAGTTGTTGTGGCCACTTTCGCTGAACAGCTGCTGCCTAGTTTGTAGGTTGAGGGTGTCACAGGTACTCTCTTGCAGGTCCTCATGTCTAAGCGAACGACGTGTCACGTCTTGTGTGTTAAGTCTGTCCGCCATACAAGTTCGGGTGGGGCAGCTGGTGTGAGACGGTTGTGTACGCTACAGTCCTGTAGTGCAGTTTGTTTGATCATACCAAGTGAAATTGAGATCGGTGCTATTAACAGTAAAAGTATTAATGTTAGTGATGGTAACATTAACGATGCACGTAGCCAAACCGTATGCTGTATTCTTCCAGCGTTGTCTAGACCTGAACATACCTCCGCCAAAGTGAAAATGCGGCATTACCATTCTGTACACATGGGTGTGGGTCCAATTGAATCTACCAATTATCACCTCTTGACGCTTCTAACTGTGCTCATCATCGTCATGGATGCGATCATCGTGGCCACCATGTGAGTTACCTAGCGAACTACAACATCATCGATTCGAAGCAGCACAATTTTCGTCAGCATTTGTCAGGTATTTAGAACACGCTAATTGCATGCGACAACTGGGATGAGACAGCTAACCATAGGACGAGAAATGATGTCATCTACTTAAAGATTTCAAAATCGTCCAATCGCTTGGATCATCCTATACTGCTTCACACGCTTCAGCAATCTAACATTGGAGATCCAGCATTAGGATGAATCGGTGACTTTCTCCGTGCATGTCAACTTGAGATTAGAATACAAACTTCTATGTCCGAACCAATGTGAGTCGATTGCAGTGTATCGCAAGGTGCGTACTTCGACTCCAACTGTTCCTATACTTCACTAACACTCTAGCGAGAGTTCATATTATGTACGTTTTGCGGCAACCGAGGTATACAAAGTCCGGCATTTGTCATTCACGCTCAACCTCTAACAACTAGCCACTACCACCGCAACCAAATTACTGTGTGCTACACACCACGTAGGAATGGAAGCAAAAGCTCCCGACACCTGTCCACTTGGGTGAGCAAGATGGGGAAATGAGCTGGGGTGTGACTGAACGGCTTGATTTCATCCTTTGGTCTGAAGGAGGAGTCACTGAGCTGAGTCCTGTTCTGTACAGTCCTGGAGATAGCAACTGCCGGCATATATTTCTACGATCACGTGCCATTATGATACTTTGTTCACTGTCCTAGACTGAATCAATGGAAGCGACCCTTAGCGTGGATTACTAGTGTTTTGTGTCGTTTTGCGAGCACGCACGTTGTAGTTCATCCTGTTTGTTAGAGTAGAGCGAGTTTTCCAAACGGAACTGTCTCTGTGGGGTCCGTGTTGGTTGTACTTGTGAACTTGGAACTGGATGGCATAACTGACAACTAAGGAATAGCCAAATGCTCCATAGATCCCTTGCAAGTGCCGTAGACAGGAAATTCTGAGCTCATCGGATATCCCTGAGATTAGTCTTGTATGAAGCTGCATAGTTCGGTAAATAACTCGGAAACAGCAAAGTTGTACGATTGGGTTTAAGCACGACAGCCCTACAAATAACTATGATTGCTAGCTTCAGGACCCGCAAGAAATGACTTGTGCGAGTTACTTCACCGAGTACAGAAAAGGCAAAATCCCAATGGGTGCATGCTGACGTTGTTGTCTGAAGATAGATTGAAGTATTTCCGTATGAATATGCTCACGAAACTTTGCGGTAGTTCGTCAGCGTGGTCAACTGCAGTTGTTCACACCAGAACATCTTTCGACAACCAGTGAATGGGCAATCAGAGATGCCTGCGAATAAGTTCTTACGAACTTTACTGAAGTTCAGCGTAAGAAACAAACCCGGAAGCTTGCATACATTCCTACAGCCACAGAATCACGAAACATTTGTATCGTCCGATCGTTGCTCCTACGAGGGAGCACTGAAAATACAATGCCGTCTAGCACAAGGTGTTATGCGATTGACATGGAGACAGTAATCTTCTGTCGTGGAAGCAAATTGCACACTGTGGTCAAGAATACACGTACTTGTCAAAGGCTATCGCAGCGGCTATGGAAATAGTATTATTGGTGCGGTTATTAAAACAACTAGTCGTGTCATGTGCTACCTCCAGGTGGATCCACTGTTGTGAATGATCTACTTCAACCAATTCAGACGGATGTTTCCAGAGCACAAAGTGTTGCCGAGTGGTCCACAAGTCTTGATGTTCTCCTGAGGGCATTTCAACTGAGAAAGGACAACTGAGTTGGAAACAACCTCCGAAGTACAATCAACGACAGGTATGATATCAGGTTTAAGGCGAAGGAATAATCGTGTACGAAAACGGATGAGTCAATTTCGAGTTAACTTAAGGCGGAGATCGTACCTTCAACAAGACAAAAGAAAGATTACTATACGGTTTCACATTATAAGGCACCGCATGAGGTGTAAAACACTTCGATGCATTAGTCGCAAGCCAAGCCGGAACTAGCGTACTTTTGACTTATCACGTTCCCAAAGAATCTGGTAGAATCGATGGTTCCACATTGCCTGGTTTTTCCCCTAATCGAACTACCTTTGTCAGCTCATCATATTTTGCACAGCTTCGTTCTTTGATAGGAAATTTGGGTCATTCAAGCATTTAGACCTAGTAGGACGTGATGTACCAGGTTTGGCGGTGCGCAATTGCACGGTTGTTGATGTGTAGCTACCTAGATTTTGGCACTTCCATCAAAATTATTGGCTGCGGACACTGTTAATCCTTGCCTCTGGGAAAGAGTACAGCCCCCGAGTCCTTTCCAAGCTCTTCCAAGGTGTAACAGTTAAAAAATAAACTACTAATCCGCGTACGCATGACAGAACATTTCATAAACTTTGCCTCATGGTTGTGTGCATTCGAGGAGCGTGGGGTGGTTCCGAGTCATATGTGTTATTCGTCGTCATACCAAACATTTTTGTTTCCAGTTGAGACGAGGGTGTTCGAGGAGTGATTGGACACTGACCATCCGCATTTCCCCCATGGCAGCAGGAGTTCTGTGGGGTTGTTCTCATTTCTCTTGGAAATTCCAAACCCGGAAACGAATGCCGTTGACTACCAATATCTATAGAGACTAGTGGGAAGATGTACTGGTTAATTTATCTCAATGATCATGTCTATGAGCGCCCCGTGCATCTAAACAAAAATGACATATCCAAAGGAACCCAATTTAAAAGATACGTTCTTCTGTTATAGGGAGTAATTCTGTGCAATCCGCCGAAGCACAATGGAGTAATTTAAGTTCCGTACTCATGCTGACAATGAAAAACGGTGAAAAGGCGAAAGTGTGCGTGAAGAAATATCGTAGATGTGGTTACGAGCACTGCGGTTTTCGTTGAAAAACTCCTTGTTGTTCGAATCGAGTAACACCGCAGTTTTCGAGTAGCCCAAAACAAGCGGTTATACTGCGATTGGCTAGCATTAAACTCTGGGAATGCCAGTAGAGCTAACGATTTATGTAAATGTCACATGGTGTCTACCTTGTGGTGAGGTGCGCATACTGACCGACAGTTTTGTGCAGAACCACAGCTGGCAAGCTGGTAAAATTCAGAGCATGCAAAACGTGGGTGTGAACAAGAGGGCACCAAGGTCACCATTCGAAAGTATTCATAAGAGCCCTTTCTCAGACCGTATGCAATGTGAAATCTGTTGACAGGTGTTGTCCATTTCGATGTGCACGGTTTTACGCTTGACCAACCACGCGTCTTTTTCTTTTTGTCATAGGATGATGAATTTATCTATGGGAAATTTCTCGATTCTCTTCAGACTACTTGGCACCGTCATCGTGATCGTTACGCTCGTTAAACTTTTCCAGTCAAGATGGATAAATAAAACGTGCCAATTAATAAACCCCGTCATCCACACCGAGGAGAAACAGTTCCCACTGGCTTTCAGCATTTCGATGTACACAGATCTTGTCCGGACGGTGCGGCTCATGCAGGCCATTTATAGACCACACAATTGCTACTGCATCCACGTGGACAGGAAGAGCAGTGAATGGACACATACCACACTCAGTCTGCTCATGCAGCGACGCTACGGGGACGCTGTGTATGTTGTCCCACGAGCAAGCAGTATTAAGGTGGAGTGGGGTTGGATGTCTACGCTCGATGTGGATTTACTGTGTAGTCACATTCTATTGGATCGGTGTCCGCGTTGGAAGTACTGGATCAATCTAACTGGTCACGAGTTTCCCCTGAGAACAAACTGGGAGCTAGTTCGAGCTTTGACTATACTCAACGGGTCGAATTTGATCGATGGAATGTACAGACGTCGAAATATGGACCGGTTCCCACTGCATCTGAAGTTCAACTTCCCGGTAGGTTTTTGTCGACGTGTTTGATTGCTACTAAGTCATGTCTCCTGTAAGAAATAGGATTTTATGCTTGATATATTATTCGTTACACACAAGTGGATCATACAGTTTTCTGCCATCTCTCAAAGTCCCATTGCTTGCTACGCCGTGTTCTCGATAAGCTTGATTGTTTATAAGAAGGTCGATATTAACTATCAATCATTTATTAAAAACCATCACAGTTGAATCCAGCTAGATACCCGTCAACGTGCGGAAATGCAATAGATGATTGTTGTGTATTTTCTGGAATCTGTGACATTGGCGGTACGGAATTGTGGTGAGCGGTTTCGAAGCTATGATATAAAAGATGCACATGACAACTGAATTCAGGCAGACAGACATTAGAGATCGAATTGGTATGGCTTTCCGTCGTCGGTGATGCGTCTCTCTTCAATCCTTCCTGGGGTCCAAATTTTACGGGCCGTCTATATCAGGGCCTTGTGAAATCACTGCAACTTTTCTGATTAGACGACTAACTATGTTATGGCACGATTCGTCTTCCACTCTCATTTGCGCAACTGCAGATAGAGGAAAAGCCAGGACCTCAGAAACACATTGTTCATCCACTATGTCCCCATTTACTAGATCCCTAGCTAATTACTATATCAACCGACCCTCACAAGTGAAGGCAACGCACTCGATAGATGCGCTCTGTTGGGAGCAAGACGGTATCCGCTACATTTTCAGCAGAGTGGGAATTATCCTACAGTATGCGGTTATATTAATGCAGGTCAAACGTGTTTTGTTACTGTCAACAGATATGCCTCAACTGCTGGTAGCTGTTTGCAACTTTTAACTCACTATTTTGATCCCTTCAACTGGTCGTTTCAATGTGCTTAATGCAAACATAGTGCAGTAAACACCATTTAATTGATTTGCTCTGCACAAATGGTGTGACAATGCCTTTATCTATCGAGTGCAAAACGTGCCCGTCGAACTTCGTTTAATGTTCTACTTGAATAAGTACCGAGTTCAGCGTGAACGCTTTTAGCTACCACGAACATCAGTCGCGCTTTCGACAGAGGAAATGGAATGCATATCAAACAAACTTCAACCGTCAAACAGAGGACTGGAATTTTAGAGCCCGGTAGACATGAGTGTAATGGCCCGCGATACAGTTCGCTGCCTGCTGCTACCCCGTTGTCACTGACGTGCAGCATTTAATGTTGTGATCATTAACAGAGTTACTTGTATCTTACTGTTGTTAATCGACTTCAATAGGAGTAATTATAACTGCGGAAATAATGTTCCAGCTTCATCTTATTTGTTAGAAGTTCAGGTGGGCAAAGCACAATAGGCGGCATTTTCACCGTTTCCGAACATTAACTATTCGTACCAGCAAAGCCCTTCTAAATCGATGGTTAATTTGATTGCTAAATACAAGTCTGAGGACTGGGAACTTATGGGAAGAAGTGCTGAAGCCCAGTGCGTCTCTTGTCTCTAAGCTCCTCTCACTAAAAATACTACTTCCCTCATTAAAATGCTCACTTTGATGCGCACGTAGTGTGGAATTGATTGTGACCGACTCTCGGAATCATGACCGAATTTAGCTGGGAATTGAAGTTTGGAACTTCAATCACTGTAACAGTATCTGTGTGGGCTTCAAAATGATCTCTCTAACCTGTTATTAACTGTCGTGATAGGTTTTACCAGGAGCAGCTCTGTGGCGAATGGTTAGAGGATTCAGCTGGTATCCCACTGGTCCCAAGTTTGAGTCGTGCTTCTTCTCTTACTGCCTCCTGATAGCAAAGATTTTCGAAACTTGTCTGGGAGTACGGTGTAGGCAGCTGGTAACACCCGATGTTTATCATCTTGGTTCACTCTAACTAATAACCTTTCGAACCAACGCGTAAGTGAAAAGGCTTTTAAGTGAAGCTCCTGCAACGCAACAACAGATCAATCTCATTTCAGTCTGCAGCTTTTGATGCACACTGACGCAGGTGCCCTGGCGCTAGCGGATGCGAACCTACGTGAGCAGTTCTTACACTTGGTCTTCCAGAACGGCAAAAGCATCACAGTGTACTAACTCGGCAGACAGAGATCCGTTGCCGTTATTTTTAACAGCGCTGGTCTCGTTGGAATATCTCGGCTAGTCGCAATGATCACTTGAGTGCATGTTATGACTTAGGGTTATGGAACGTTGTGAATTCGAACAACTGGAAGTGGGTGGATCTAGGTTTCCACCAACCATTAGGCATTGAAATATTCGCGCGTAGCTGCTTTGTAACCAACTTATATTCAGAGCGACATGGCTGGCTTTGATGTCATCGGTGGAAGGATGCCATGGAAATGATATCCCAAGACTGGAGAGTTTAGACCGGAAAACTGATGAGTATTAAATTATCACACACGCCGTTAAGAGCGGGTATAAAATCATACAGATAAAGATGTGGTTAGCATTAGGTAGACCTAGACCATACTACTACACAATTAGGCTAGACTTAGCCGCAGTTTGAAACCGTTCCTAAATCTCCTGCTAATCGGGTCCAGTTTCGTTCGGCTCACAGGTTCCCTTTTTGTGTGATGGTGAATGTGGAAATGATTTTCGTTTTCACTGTCCCTTGAGTAGAAGCCCATTACGGCTTGTCCCTTGCAGTCCTGTCTTCTCACAGTTATACATGCACGATCGCTCGGCATTTGCAAACCCAAATAGACGCCTGCCGTCTCATTAATTTTTCCCCGCAGCCTCAATAGTGAGCACACCTTACAATTCAAAACATTTATCTCCACCTCACCCACCCATCTACAGTTCACATGGTATAAAGGAGGCGCGCATATTGTCGCCCGCCGGGAATTTGTACACTTTGTACATAATGACGAACGTGCCAAACTCATCCTCCAGGCATTGCGTGACTTCGAACAGTCGGAGAACAAAGGCATCGTTGCAGACGAAACATACTTCCCCACTTTAAACCACAATCCAGATTCTATTCCCGCACCTGGCGCATTTCTGGGCGTGCATGAATCGGATGAATTTACACCACCTATCCGAGTCAAAGTATGGTCTGATCAAAACATGCCTTGCCACAGTGGCAAATGGGTCAGGACTATCTGCATGCTGGGACTCCGTGAAGTAGACTGGTTGATGGGTAGACCGGAATTTTTCGCCAACAAATTTATTCCGTCAGTAGAACCAGAAGGCTATGCCCGATTGGAGCGATGGATTTCCGAGAAAATAAAATACGAAGCTGTAGTTGGTGACTTGCATCCTTCCTTTAACACGACACATTATCTTTCTCTTGAATTGCGATGGAACCACTTGTAAACTGCCTTCTCCTTTCACGTTCGCACTTCTGTCGTTGTTTAGAAGAGTACGATTTTTCACTATTTCTGTATTTTTGGTTCCTATGGGTTATCTGCTTACTCTGTATGTTTCGACCAGATATTTGGTTTGCGTACAACTGTGATTGAAATCCATTTGAGCACATATCGATTACACTTGAAGGCTCCGCACCGATCAGCACTTCATTCGGCGCTTGTGTGATCTCTGTTAGCTTTATGGTTGTAGGTCGGATGCCACATTCCGTTCCTAAGGTTTCTTACATTTCGAGATGGATGCCGGCGAATTGCTTCAACATCAATAACGAACCTATGAGTCTTGGTGTTGTGCACCAAATCACATGTCCGAGCAAGCAGGGGTTGCCTTCATCTAAGGAATGGTATTCGCAGGTTTCCGCATGCAGACAATCAATTCAGCATCATTCCATTTGCATGAATTGTCGGCACACAACAATAACTTTCACCTCAGTTAAAGCTACATTTGTGCGAGTGCCCGATCTATCCGCGGCATTCAAATCGCTTGCTCCGGAAGTCGCACTTTCAACAATTTTTTCAACTTTCTGTATCCAGTTCAAGCAACTTAGCCTATCATCATTAACCCACCGTGGCTGCTAACTGGTGTGATGTGTTCGTTCGACATGAGAGTACTTTGACCCTCGTCGACATATTTTTACCCAGAATTGCCCATCGGGACAATCCTACTGGACATACGGAGGGAATGACATTTTGTCAGTGTTAAACCGTTATCTCTTGTGGGAAGCACAGTACAACACGTCTATACCAAGTAGTCACAAGTAGTAGTGATTTCAACTTTCTTCGTTCGAACGACCACTTGTTGCGTGTACTTAAGTGTAATCGAACGATACAAGTTACTAGTTCGGCCCGAATGGATGGCACCACCCCAGTCATGCCTGCTGCGTGCCAGTTAGAAGACTGGTCAAAGTAGGCTGGGATACTTAAGTCCTCTGAGGTTCCTTCGAGCTTGTATCTCACAATAGAGAATAGTCGGCCTTCGCGAGGTTCCGTAATTGTGCCTCACGATAAAATATACTACACAGCAAACAGAATGTCTGCGGTATGACGGGTGTTCTCAGTTCACTAAGTGTAAACCGGTGTGGGTTTTAGAGTGCTCATGCCCACAAGAAGAGATTGCGATGCAGCGATATGAGCGGCATGGCTGATTTTGAGATCCACGAAGTGCAAAAGCTAATGTTCGGTTGAGGTCAACATGTCGCAGTGTTAACTGAAACACTCATTAAAACTGGCTCGTGTCTCACGTGGTATGGAAGAGTTGGTAGCCAGATAGGCGTGGTGGGTGGAAACGCTTGTTGTAACGCTATTAGGTGGGACTTATAAAAAAAAACAAATGGTTTATTTCTCGAAATTGCGGGAGACTGTTCCGGCGTAGGGAGAGATTATTGGTGTGCAGTTGTGTTTCACTTTTGATCTCACCCAACACCAGATTGGAAAGAATTCACCAAAGCATGTGGAATTTGCATGTATGCCGGTTATATCATTGGTTAACTATGTGACAAGTTCATATCAACAGTACTCACCCACCGTCCTGATTGATTGCAGTAGTTGAGTATGTTTGGGATAAATGTTGGAAGAGGAGTTCCGGATAAGCATTTAAACGCATATTTAGATCTGCTTTCGTCATTAGCCACTTTGGCTTTGGTCCCCTCTAGGAATGTAAGCATATTCCAAAGCGGGATTCTGTCACAATTTTCTGCAAACTAAATTCTGGCGGTATAACAATTCCATCATGTACAAATCGCTTTCACAAGCATTACTAGGTTACGATAAACAGCCATGTTGCTCATATCTGATGTCGACACCATTTTCGAATACCGTGTATCCCATGGCTGCGATAACAGTAGCATGGATATGATGTTTGCACAGGAAGATGTCCCTTGTTAGACATTTTTAACTTATGTGGGCACGGTTCCTCAATAAAACGAGAAATATACACTAGTATTAATATTATGTAATTTACCGCACTTCCTGATGTTTTGAGGTAATTTGTTTGAATGCACGGAGTATGTAATGAGAAAGAAGCCCTCTCTCATATAAGATTTTGTCCTTGAAATTATGACGTTACAGCTCAGATCACGTACGGGGTATCTGTCATCCTGCATCGTACATATTTATTCTTGTGGTGTGAGCACAATCATGTATGAATCTGAATGGAAAACATAGATTTAATAGCATTCTTTGCAATCATATTGCTTGCAGTTCAAGGAAAGTACAGCGCCTACTGTAAGACGAATTTGTGGAATATCCAGCTATTCTTTTGGTAAAATGGGGTTGAATGCGCTCAGCAGTCATCTTGTCGCAATTTCGCATGTTTGTGCACACCATTGAGCAATAAAAAGATGGTTCGCAGTACATTTACTTTGCACAATCAGAGCCGGGACTCCTGGAATGAGAATGAATGACAAAAATATCCGACGACGTTTCCTGCCTTTGATATCTGAAAATCACACTGTTTTGAAATGTTGAACGTGTGCGAGTATCACAGGCCTAGGCCACAAACTGATATGCATTCAGGAATATTCTTACCGTGCATAGTGGAATGTGACACTTACACGATAAGATATAGCAATAACCTGCGGAAAATGACATTTGCCTCAACTGACATTAAGTTTCAGGACCTGAAATATTGTCTACTATGTGTCGTTAAACCTCCCGTTCCTCCGTATCTCTGTGAGAATAAACGACTTTTATGTCGCGAGAAAGAAAGACTATCTGGTGAGCAACTGCCTTCAATGATTCATCATCAGACCATTACAATCCTATGGAGGCTAAACTAACAATTGACCCAGTTAGTGCAAAATGAACAGATCATTTGAAGGTCTATGTCAGATATGAGAAAACGAATTAGGTTTTAGTGGGCTAGTTGTTTGCTACCGCGTCTGACCGAAGGCAGTGGACCCGGGCGTCTTCCGTCTTGGCTGACCAGGGAAGCTGGAGGGCCTGAACCAGCTTCTTCTGTGAGCATAAGGACTGCTGGAACAAGCGAATGGATATTGCTTCAGCTGTCGCAAGTGTACGAAGGCGGTAACCTTTAGTTCTGTGCGGCGGAACCATGTGAGCTATTCCAAAAGCACTTTTCCAATCCACCTCATGGCCGGTGTCCACAATGTGGGCCAGAATGGCGCTACTAATGGGCCCGGCGACCCCATGACGCAGCCAATGAGAGCAACATTCGTTCACGCGTTTGGATAACTGCCGCGCCGTTCGACCAATATAAGTTGCGCCACAGGCGCACACGAATTGGCAAATTACCACTGAGTTGGTCAGCATCGGCATCTTGTCCTTGTTTTGTGAACGAATGAGTGGTTCCGTTGAAATCACGCACTTCAACGAGGCTGCTGGGAAGCTCGACTTTACCGCGGCCGAAAGGTTTCTAGTTAGACGCTCGGTAGTCGCGTTGTCTTTGAATGGTAAACGCATAAATAGCTCTTTCTTTGCTGCTGGTAACACTGGTATCGGTCTGGGTTTTCTTCGGAGTTGCTTAAAATAAATCTATCCGGATAACCGTTTTCACGTAGAGTATTCTGTATGAACATTAACTCCGCGTCTAAGGTGTCTTCCGTACAGATTCGAAGTGCTCTTGAGGCAAGGCAGGGAACCAGGTTGCGTTTGTATTTCATAGGAACGAAATTGTGAAAGTTCGTGT